GCCAAGCCGGGGGCAGAGGGAGGCATCGCCAGGCTGGCCTCCAAAGGGGTGGTTCCCAGAGGAGGAGGAAAGGAGGTGGTCAAGGTTGAGGGGACCTTGACTTTGAAGAGCCAAACTGTCTCTGTCTTTCTGGCTTTGGGGCCTGGTGGAGTCTTCCAGTGTAACCCCTGACTGCTGGGGGGAGCTGCTGGCTGCCCGAAGGCCACAAATCCCCTGGTCATCCAGGCTGGATTTGCAGCTCTTGAAAGGGAAGGGCCTGGGTGACGGCCAGCGGGGACACCAACATGTGCGGGTGGGTAGGAGCTAGAAGCCCCTCGCCCGGCCGTTGCTTTGTGTGTGGTGTCGAGCCTGGCGAGTTGTCAGCCCCTGAGGATTGGCAGAACTGGGCTTCTCTGTCCAGAGAGACTCCGCTGGCCTTGCTAGGAGCCAACGTTCAGTTAAAGTCCTGGGATGCTGGGTCTGGACAAAGAAAGTTAAGTGGGCCTGCAACTCCCCTTGTGAGAGACGCTCACCGGCCCCCAAGCCCCTGGTGGGCCACGGGGCCAGCACGTGGAACGAGCAGGACAGGGCGGGTGGCAGGGGGGTGGGGGTGGGGCAGTGTTCTGGTCCGGGAATGGAGACTCTTTAAAGCTTTAGGGACTTGGAGTATTCAAGCAGATGCCGGATGACGAGCCCCAGGGAGGACTCCCGCCCTCGGTGGGCCCTTGGGCCAGCATCCCCGGAGGTCCCTTCTAGCTTCCAGATACTACGGCCCGAGACTGCTAGACTTTTCTTTGTCTCCAGCTTTCTGTGATTCTGGAATCTGGAACCCAAGTTTCCAGAGTGGCAAACACTGAAGACATTGGAGCTCTAGAATTTTAATCCTGGGATCTCAAGATTCCAGAAATTGAAGATTTGAGGGTGATTCTACAAGTCTCAGACTTCCACATTCAAAGGCTTCTGTGACATGAAAGGGGAAAAGAGGAGTGGGCAGCTTGGACTTAATGGCAGCCAGTTTTGCTGCCATTGGGTATTAAAGTCCCTGAACACACATGCATGTATGTGGTGCATGTATGGTAAGTGTGTGCACACACATGCATGTGTGTGCACATTGTGTGTGTGTGTGAGAGAGCGCGCGAGCAGGAGAGAAGGAGATGAGAGTGAAAGGCTGCAGAAAGTTTTGCACACAAAGGCAGCCATCTTTCCTATTTGCACACCTCCAGCTTGCCTGCCCTGGCCATTTGAAGGCTGTCATGGGGATAATTATAGCCCCCAAACAAAGCTGGCGACTCCAGGTAGCCATAGCAACGGTTAGGTAAGCCTGTTCTGTTGTAGAGATGTAAGTACAAACAGATGTCGGTTCTTGCCTATTAGCTTAAATGGTAAAACTTAAAAGGTTCATCAACTTCAAAGCCGCAGGTCCCCGCGAGTGTGCCAGCTGACGGGGTGCTTGCCAAGGGGTTGACAGCTCCGTGTTAAACGCTTTAGCATCAGTCAGGAATTGATGAGATTTTAAAGGCTCCGGCTGTCCCAGACAACCGGGGGGCTGGAAAGAGCTGTGGGTCTTTGGATCTGGGTTCGGAGCTGGACCTCACCAAGGCTTTGTTTCCTTAAGCCTTCCCCTGCTGCCCCCCAGGGCTGTTCAGCTGTCCCAAGAGGGCGCAGGACAGCGAGAGATGGAAAATGGCATTGCCCAGGGCTAAGTGCTTCAGTCAGAGCCCATGATGCTCTCTCAGTAGCATCAGCCAGGTGGCTCAGTGGCCAGCCTGGGGCCAGGGCCAGCTGCTCCTGCTCCTCCACGTCGGCTCGTCCTCAGCAGGTCACCAGAGGAGGTGGCTGCGGCTGCCGAGGTCCTGAGCCCTTGGCACACCCTCTCAGAGTGCCCTCTTTTGATACTGAGGTTTGCACAAATGCCCTCAGCCTCAGGCAGTTGAACAAAAGAATGAATGAGCAGCCTCTGGAAAATTCCTAGGACATTTTTAATTGAGGCATCACCACTTTACAACACTATGTTTTAAGGGTGCAGGTTTACCCCTCTTCGCCGTGTGTTCCCCCACACCCACTGCCCACACACCCAAACCCTCCTCTACTGCCCACGGGGCCCCACGCCCACCCTCCCCTCTGGTTTGTTCTGGCCTCGTTTTATCTGTTTCTCTGCTTGATTCTTTCTTCTCCGCACATATGAGTGAAATCATCTCGAATTTATCTTTCTCTGCTTGTTCCACTTAGCATAATCCCTTCTGGTGCCATCCATGATGCAGCAAATGGCAGGATTTCATCCTGCAGCTGTGTACATACACACACCACACCTCTGGGCCCCCAGCTTGTTTCCACCTCTTGGCTATTTTCCGTAGTGCCGCAGGGAACACCGGAGCGCAGGTGTCTTCTTGGTGGGTGTCGTTACTGTCTGCGGGTAGATACCAAGGAGCGGAATAGCTGGATATGATGGGAGATCTGTTTTTGATATTTTGAGAAAGTGCCACGCAGTTTTCCATAGCGGCTGGACCAGTCTACATCCCACCCACGGTGTAAGAGTGTTCTTTTTCCTCCACATCCTCGCCAGCACTTGTTCGGTCTTTTTGATCTGGACCATTCTCACGGGTGTCAGGTGGTATCTCATTCATTGTGGGTTGTTTTTTTTTTTAAAGATTTATTTTTACTTATTTATGCACACAAGAGCTGGGGTGTAGGCCAGAGGGGTGGGGGGAGTGAGAGGATTCACCAGAGACAGAGTGGGGAGCAGAACAGGCAGATCTACTGATACACACTGCTGAGGGGAGCAGCCAGGAGACAAGGAGAGGTCTGCTGTGCCCTGTGGGTCAGCTCCCTGGCTGGGTCGATCAGATCGTGCTGCAGTGGCTGCTGATAGCTTGGTGGCACCTCCAGGGAGGCCCTTTCATTGTGGTTCTGATTTGCATTTACCTGATAAGAGATAGTGAATCTTTTTTTCATGTGCCAATAGGCCATCTATATGTCTTCTTTGGGGAAGTGTCTATTCAGATCCTTTGCCCACTTTTTGATTATTTTTATTGTTGTTGCATTGGATGAATTCTTTATAAACCTCAGCTATTAGCCTCTATTGGACGTACAATGTGCCAGTCTTTGATTCCATTCAGTACAGTGTCTTTGCATCTTAATGATAGTCTCTTTTGCTGTGCAAAATCTTTTTAGCTCGACACAGTCCTACCTATAGCTCTTTCGCTGTTCATGTTGCTGAAGCACCTCCCGTCTTACAGCCGCCTGGGCTCTGGAAGCTCCCTGGCCCGGTATCCAGGGTGAAGGCAGAGCCTTGTGGGTGACTTGTGCCATCAGAGGCTCTACCCTGAGCTCTACCCCCTCACGGTGACATCTGAAACACGATGTTAGGAAGGGCACCTGACAGGCGGCCCTTGTGCCTCTGACCTTTTTGGCCAGGAATCAGCTGACTCAATAAATGGGACTCCCTGAAAAGATAAAAAGGAGATCATATGTGAAGCGGTGGCTCGTGATAACCCTTGAAGGGTAGAGAGTATTCTAGACTCAGGGTTGCATTGGGAGGCTTTAAGTTTGAGGTTCTTATCAAGGAATAGCCATGAAACCGACTCCCTGGGACTCCACAGTTCCCATCACCGCACTATTTTTTGCCAAACTGATCACATTTTTAAGGGGGGATGTGATTGTTGTGGCTAATGGACAGCACTGCCATTGGCTGCCCGGGACGAGGTGTCAGCATGGTCCAATCAGCAGTGATTGGTAGCAGGTTGGAGAGAGAACATGATGGATACTTGGGTGTTTGGGGGATGGATGGACGGATGGATGGATGGATGGGTGTGGACAGATGATGGATTATTGTAAAATATGGCCAATAATCCTCCACTTGCCTTCCTTGCAAAGCGATCCACCTTTTTACTCAACGAACATTTAGTTCAGACTTGAGGCAGTTCACTATGTGAAGTCTCAAAGATACACAGATGAATAAAACAAAGCCCCTGCCCATGTGAAAATCAAAGCAAGATGCTCAGGAACATGGACTCAGGGGTCTGATTTCCTGGGCTCAATTCCCAAGTCTTCCATCAACTAACTATGGGGCTGCGGCACAGATTTCCTCACTTCCCCTCAATTAGATGGGGTAATGTTCATGTTGCTCATATAAGGCTGTTAGGTGATTAAACTAGCCGCTGAATATAAAGTGCTTGGGAATGGGCTTGGCGCCCGGCAAATTCTCTGGGAGTATTGGCTACTATTATACTAATGGAGCAGTTGGCTTGGAAACAAAGAAATATAATCTGATGAGGTAAACAATACAACAGGACTACATACAAATAAATGGAAGGGGGAAGTAGTCCTTTGTTCAGAGGGCACTTCACAAGCCAGTTTTCTTGGTGGTGTGGGGAAATCAGGATCTAATGGTTATGGATTTTCCTGGGTTGACCCGGCTCTGAGCAGGAACACATGTGGCTCCTTCCCAACACTTCTGGCTGAGTGGGGCATATTCTGGCAAAGGGTCAAAAAGTGGCTGAGCAGTGGCTAGCGCCCACTAAAAGGAGCCTTAGCATGTAGACAGCGAGAGCCCCAAAAGCCCCACTTTGCAGGGCCAGTAGGACCCTGCTACCTAAGCTCAGAAAGATGCCAGCCCTCGTGGGATGACTGACAGCAAAGAGAGTTGGGTTTCAGGCCGCTGGGGTTGGCCTTGCTGGTGCCCTTTCTGTTAGCTTGACAGTCCAGACAGTGGCCCAACCTCCTCTCGTCTCTTGCCACACGCAACCACCCCCACCCCCTGTGGCCTGAGTTGTCCTACCTCCCCACAATGGCACCTGCCCCAAAATAGCTTCCATGTGAGGGTTAGAGAAAGGAAAAGATTAGACCCCTGCATGATAGGGGGTGGGGTGAGGGCAAGGGAGAGAGAGAACAAGCAGTCAAGTGATCGAGTGTCAAGCATCCGGGAGGGTATAAAGCTTCTGAGAGACCAGGCAACCTCAAACCCCAGCTTTCAGGGCCAGGACACCCAGTCAGTCCACGCTTGCTCTCTTTGTCTTCTTCAGACTCGCCATGGGGCTCAGCGACGGGGAATGGCAGCTGGTGCTGAACGTCTGGGGGAAGGTGGAGGCTGACATCCCGGGCCACGGGCAAGAGGTCCTCATCAGGTAAAAGGAAGAGATTCCATTATCTCTAGCACCTGCTTCCCAAAGATCCAGGGGATTCACCTGCAAGGTGGCATGTTGGCCGCCAGGGTTGACCAGTTGGCTGTGTTAGTTGAGCTTGTTAAAAGTCTCACTTGTTAAAGCTTTTGCTTTTGTACGTCAGAGATTGGAGTCAGGGAAGGAAGCATTCCACCTCATGCCGATGTCAAGAATTGGAGGGGAGCTGGGTGAGCAACCCCAGATACTTAGAGCCCACCAAGAGGAATGTAGACAGAGTTAGCGAGCCCTGACATATCTCCCCACCTCCAGGCCCGATCTTACTTAATGGATGAGAACAAGAAGGACCTAGGAGGGAGAGGTTGCTCCCTGAGTCCCAAGACTATGAAAGCCTATGAAGTGTCAAGGCTAAGACATGGCCTTCAAGGTGGAACCTGTTGCTTTAGACCTGGATCTGCCACTGAGCGGCTGTGTTACCTTAGGGAAGGTACACAACCTCTCTGAGCCTTGATTTCCTCTCTGGTGCAAGGGAGGAACTCCTGATATCTGCACCGTAGAGCAGAAATGAGTTCTGGAAGTTGACAGGGATCTTTAAATTACTGTCATTAGAAAAGGGAAGAGGCCCATTGGTATGACTTTTCATGTCGAGAATGTTTTGATTTTGATTGCTCACAATGGTCTTGCATTCAGACAGACGGCCTTGCCTTCTATAAGGAGTTCTGGAATAAACCAAAGAAAACAAAAGTCTGAGTTTTGTCAATAGAGACTGGCACATGGCTTGCAAATACAGCTCATTTTCCCATTGCCGTCTACCCCGGGGGGCGACAGACTCCCCTCTTTCCGGGCCCCTTCTCTCATGCTCTGGGCCAGCCAGGTCAAAAGCCTCACGGGGTGTAAATCAGTCCATCAGCGCCGGGAGGAAGTGGGCTGGGGTAGCCAGGAGTGCGTGCTTGACCTTGGTCCTTTAATTGACAGATGAATTTCTCCTTCCTTCTGAGCCAGAATGGGCTTCCTTTCCCAGGCCAGGTGCCCCTTCTGTCTCCCTTAGGCTTCACCCACTTCCAGCTCCATGTCTGGGACAGCCGGCCCGTCATTGCGCCCAGAGCCCATGCTCGAATAGCGCATGGACCATCAAGTTGCCAGCTGACTGCTGGCATCTTGGGGAGTTCCCTTCTGAATTTCTCTTCCTGCTAGGGCTGCAACAGGTCCTGTCTGGCTGGCCAAAGAGCTCCTGCAAGTTGACATCAACTTCTGAGCCCCCAGTTTGCTGTGTGACTTTGGCTGAGTTACTGCTCCTCCCTGGACCCCATTTTCTAACTGATAGTCTGGCCTGGTCTCGGGGGGCTCATGCCCTGGCATTTTTTGAGTTCATGGTCCCCCCCTGCTTCTAGGGAACTAGGGTAGGAGCTTGGCTTGCAAAGTCAGAGTCTGTCCAAGGTCATCTGGGGGCTGCCAGCTCTAAGATAGTCACTTGGATGTCGCCAAGGAGACTTGAGATGCCGTATCATCCGGGGAGACGTTTCCTCTCATTTCAGGGTGGACCAGGAGACCTGCCAGGGGCCAGATGCCAGGGACGAGATGTGATGGCCCCTGGAAGGCCCCAGAGAGCCCGGTGCCCTGTATGTCTCTGCATGCCGGGCACGCAGGGACCACGCCAGCTGCTCCTGCCCGCTTGGTGTCCGGGACGGGTGGGGTCAGGGGAGAGAGGACACGAGCTCTCTGAGCTGCGAATGTCCCGGGGGAGCGGGCTTCTTGGTCTGTCTCAGATGTTGAATCTGGGCTTTCTCTAACTGGCCTTCTTCTCCCATTCTCCCACTATAAAGAGGCAAATTCTGTCCAGCTGAGTTGGTTGATAAAATGCTGCAAGTCCGAGGTATGGGGCACAAAGGCCGGAAGGTCAAGTGGAAGACTGTGGGTCCAGGAGCGGGGAGGTCAGGAGGCAGGGGCTGCCGAGGGGGCTCCAGCCGCCTGCCTTTCCTTTTCTTGCCAACACTTTTCTGCTTTATTTATTTTTGCATTTGAACAAAGGATTTCGAGGCCATGAAAGGTTTGCAAATCGTGGCTGGAGGCCAATAATATCATGTTAAGGGAGAAATCAAGGCCGAGAGTCAACCCGGCACTGGCGACTAGACAGAGCCTTAACCCCAGTCCTCACTGATGCTGGCGGTGACAGTGAGGTGATGGGGGTGCTGGTGTCCATGGCGAGGGTGATGGTGACAGTAGAGACGAGAGGTCAGGGGCGCGTTGGAGAACAGCAAATTGTGTGCCCCTCACAGGCACTGACTCATTAAAGCCTTGCCTCAGCCTGGGGAGGGAGATGTTAGGAACCCCACATTTAAAAGTGAGGTGACATGACTTGCCCAGAGCCACAGCTGGAATTCAAGTCTAGGCCTCCTGGATCCAGCTCACCTGCTCCAGACCCCAGCGCTGTGCTGCCCGCCCCTCGCGCACCCCGATTCTGCTCCCAATGGAAGAGCCAGGCTCACGCTGCATCTTTTCTAGATCATGATTTAGCTTGCTTTTCCTGCCCTGCTTAAAGCAAATATGGGTCCTGCTCCGGCTGACATGCTGTACATGGAAGGTTAGGGCGGAGGGTGAGGACTGGGGTCAAGTCTTAGAATTTGGAGGCTGCAAAATGAACTAGACCAACCCTTTTGCTTTACAGAAGCATGAACCAAGCCCCAGAAGTTCAGTGACTTATCCACCGTCACACAGCACACTGGAGACAGGGCCGGGGCCAGCACTCAGCTTCCCTACTCCTCAGGCCCACATTCCTTCTCCCAGACATCTGGAAATCCCCAAATGCCTGAGGTCCCTGACTGCTCTGGGCCTCGGGTCGGGCCTCCTTCTGTGGGCGACAGGTCTCACGTCTGTCAGGCAGCAGTTCAAGGATCATTGTCAACAGATAATAATAGTCAGGAGCTCAGGGTCCCTAGAGTGAAAGGTGCCAGAGACGAGCTGTCAATGACGCACGAGGCCTGGCCAGGCCCCAGGGTGAGGGGGTGACACGGGGCACAGCTGTGGGCAGCCCTGGCAGTCCAGGAGGGGTGGGGGGTGCACCCACGTGTGCATGCGTGTGAGTCCAGGTGTGTCCGTGGTCAGGTTGAGGATTTCACACAGCCAGGAACAGAAACTGGTCAAGGACCTGAAGCCATCATCCAGGAGGAGAAAAAAACCCAGGCAGACGGGGCGACTCCAGCCAACATTTCAGGGTGCAACCCAAGGGGAACAGTGCAAACTCTGGAAACTTCTGACCGTGGGCTTGGGTCTGAGCTCTGCCGCCCACAGCCATGAGACCTGAGCTGCCACCCACCTCTGGTCTTGCCCAGGAAGGACAAGAAGTTGGCGTGACCCTCTTTAACCAACACCACCTTTCACAGGAAGAGGGCTGAGGTCCGAGGCTGGAGGTGGCCGCTCAGGGTCATGGGCAGGGCCCTCTATAGCCAGCTCACTGGATACCTGCCTGGCACACCTGGTCTCTGGCAGGTGCCTCCCACCAGGGCCCCTCACCACCTGCACCTCCTGGGGCCGGGGAGGTCCAGGGAGCGAGCCTGCGAGCTGCTCCAGGCTGGAGAGGCTCTGGCAGGTGGTAGTGAGTCTCCCATCGCAGGAAGCATTCAAGCAACCAAAGGATGATCCCTAGACAGGAAGCAGCAGAGAAGGTCGCTGATGTGCACGACTGCTTGAGTCACTCGGGCCTGATCTCAGTCCCGCTGCTCTGCACAGCAGCCCCGCGAGACCGAGCTAGGACTGCACGTCCCGAGCCTTGTGGAACAGGGATAACATGACCCAGCGGGAAGTACAGGAGTGGGTGCAGAGCTCCCCGCTCTCTTGCCCCCACCTCCCCCTGCTCCTCCCACGATGCTAGTTTGTCCTCCATTCTCCAAACAACTTAGGGAAAACCTGAGTGAGCCAGGGTGCGATGAGGGCAGAGATGGCTTCCCTGCCTGCCTCTCCCCGTAGCAACGAAGAAGATGGAGACAATGATGCCAACATAAAAATAATAGCAGGAATTTACACAACATAGGCTGTGTGCCAGTGCCCTGGGGCCCTCAGGACACACCTTCACTGAGTCCTCCTGGCACACCCTCCGTGAGACACTGGTTATTCCCAGGCCTCGGGTGAGGAGACAAACCACAGAGAGGTCAAGTGAGCTGCCCGAGGTCACACAGCCAGGAAGCAGGGCAGCCTGGACTTGACCTCTAGTCCGGCCACCTCCAGGCCCCACCGCGCATGCCCACGTCTGACCTCACCCCTGTTTGTCCCCACAGACTCTTCAAGAATCACCCTGAGACCCTGGAGAAGTTTGACAAGTTCAAGGGCCTAAAGTCGGAGGATGAGATGAGGGCCTCCGAGGACCTGAAGAAGCATGGAGGCACCGTGCTCACCGCCCTGGGCGGCATCCTCAAGAAGAAGGGGCAGCACGCGGCCGAGCTGCAGCCTCTGGCCCAGTCCCACGCCAACAAGCACAAGATCCCCGTCAAGTACCTGGAGGTGCGTAGCAGGCGGGCGTGGGCACGGGCGGGAGAGGCCTGGCCAGGACGAGCCTGGGTCCTAGTCCCCGCACAGCTGCTAACTGCAGGGGTGACCCGGTCACTCCTCTCTGCGCCCCAGTTTCCTCATCTATAAAGAGGGGGCTGTCACCCACTCTGCCTTCCTCCTGGGGTCTTGAGAGTAAACATGTTTCTCCCCCAAATTAGTTTCCTGTGGCCCAGGGAGAAGAGTGATGCTGGTGCTCAGCCGGCATCCTTTCTATTTTGTGCCACTTCACAGATGGGGAAACTGAGGCACAGGGTGATTAAATAGCTTGTCCGTGGTCCCAGAGGTGGCAGATGGCAGAACCAGGATTCACACTAGGTCTCTGTTCTGCCAGCACCCTGGGGCCACTGGGGGCCTGAGACATGCAGGACTCATGCGGCGAGAGCGGGGCAGCCGGGCTCAGCAGGGCGTGGCAGTGGCAGGCTGGCTCTGTTGGCTCCAGCATCCCTACAGATGAAGAGACAGAGAGTCGGGGTCCTAGTGGAGGAGGGGCGGATAGGTGCACCTTCTTGGGGTGGGAGCAGCAGGCAGCTGGTACAGCAACGAGGGTAAGAGCGATGGTATTTGGGTCACTGAGAAGGGGTCTCACCGTTGCCCCCACAAGGTGAGACATTGCATCTGGCATCTTCCTTTCCTTTTCCACAAAAGGAGTTCGGAGCAGTAAGTCCAGAGCTGCTGTGGAGCCCCAGGCAGCCAGGCTTTTTCTGCTCTGCCCTGTCCTTAGCATGTGGCAGCCACCCTCAAAGTTGACTCATGGTTCAAGATGGCTGCTAGGGCGCCAGCCATCTGGTTCATACTCCCAACAGGAAGCGTGACGAGGAGAGGACGCCACTCTTTTAAGGAGTCTAAGGAAATTTCATGCAACGATTTAGTTCACTTCTCCTTGGCTAGAATTTAGTTATAAGAGCTCACTTGTCTGCCTGGGAAGCTGGGACGTGTAACCCATTGTCACTCCGCATGCAGCCAGCTTGCAGCTACCAGTGGAGAAAGTGTGCAGTCTCTGCCAGGCAGGTGCCCGGTCATTCTCATTTTCTAGACTTGGAAACAGCTCAGAGAGGTTAAACCACTTATCCAAGGTCACAGTGCTGAAGAGCCTGCAGGCACAGTCTGCTCTCTGGAGCCCGGGCTCTGAATCTCTGTGGCCCAATGCCTCTCACTGACAACCACAACCCCTCCTCAGCCTCACCTCCTTGCACCCCGCCCCCATCACACACAAACCGTCCTCTGCCCATCCCACTCAGAATCCCAGACGTGAGGAGCCAGTCCTGCCTCTGGACTCTGTGCCTCCTGCCTCTTCTCTTGGTGAATCCCTCTCAGCTCCCAGCCCCAGCTCAGAAACCACCTCCTCTGTCCTGGCCCCAGGCCCATGAAGCAGCTGCCCCCTCTGCGTGTCCTCCCCACCCCGAAGGGGCTTTATGCTCAGGCTGTCAGGCGCCTGCGGGCTGTATTGTAATGATCCTGGCCCCGGGGGCCAGGCCAGGAGCGCCTCCAGGGTAGAGCCTGGCTGTCTTCCGGGCCTGAGCCCCTGCGGTGTGTGCTGGGCTCACAGTCCAGCCCGAGGAGCGTTCACGTTCACGCTCTGGGGATAAAGGAACAGGCTTAGAGAGAAAACGCAGCCAAGCCCACCCCAAACAGGCTTAATTTACTGCAGCCCCAGCCCCGAGCAGCAGCCTTTCCCCTCTCCGTGGACCTCTTCGGTGCTCTCCCTGAGGTGGCTCCTTCTCGCCCGAGTGGGGGCCGGCGGTGGCGAGGGGCAGAGGGCACCCTTGTCTCAGTCGCTCTGCTGGCCCACCCCGTAGTTCCCAATATTAGTGACTCTGCCATCAATTCAGGGAAGGCTGAGTCCGAGGTTCCCTATGGGGTCTCCTACGCCCCTGTGTTCCAGGTGAGGTCACACAGGGGGCCTGGGCAGAGCTGGGCCTGGAACTTCGGTCTCCTAAGGTTGCTCCTTGGCACCTGTACCCCCACTTTGTTTTGCTGCGTCGTGAAGTGAAAGGTGAAGGTATCTGTCCACATCGAGGCCCAGGGCAGACCTTTGTGGGCTGTCCTGGTTTCTTAGCTGAAAGGCGTTGATTCTTGTTCTTTTGGGGGGCTCCCTCTGCTCCTGTCCCCCTCCCCAATGGCTTTCTGTCACTGGCACCCCAGGCTCCTGAGAAAATGGCGAAACGTGATGACAGCGCCGTCGCTGCATCTGTCCTTGGCTCTGACGGCCCTCTGTCCACAGTCCCCTGGGTATGAACCCCCCGCTCTGCCGGCCACTTGCTGCGTGACCCCAGCCTGGCCACTTCCTGCCTGGGACTCCGTAAAACGACCCCACGGGGCCTGCTGGCCAGGGGCCGTGCTTGGTATCAATCTTGATTAACTGTTGAAAAAGCTCTGTAGCATTTATACCCGTGAGATGGCGCAGGCCCCGCGGTGGCCCCGCGCCCGGCACAGCGATGCCTGCCTTGGTGTGCTCGGTGACGAAACTGTGGGTGTTAAGTGGTGGGGCTGAGAGCAGACGTTTAGGTGGGGGTGTGTAAACGGAGGCCTTCTCCTTCCTCTTCTTCCTCCCTCCCCTGCTCCCATGGAAAAGGGGAGGCTCTCTGTCCCCCACGCTCCCACCCCGCCCTATTTAAAGCAATAACCCTTCCAAGTCATTAAATGCAAATGCTAAATACATGCAAATAGGAGTTGGTTCTTTCCAGATTTCCTGATTGCAAACTTCTGGGTAAAATCAGGGTGAGGCGCAGCCCCTTCCTTTCCGCGGCCCTGAGTGCCCCACCCTGAGCTCTGGCCCGGCTGCCGCTGGGTCCTCGCCTGAGCAGGAGCCAAGCAGGGCAGTGGGTAGGCAGCCCCCCTGCCACGTGGCCGGGGGTGCACCGCCTGGCCTTTCCTGTCTGTCCCAAGACAGGCCTCAGTTTCCCCATCTGTTCCTGTCTTGGGGGTCCTGGGGGGAAAAGACAACCCTGGGTGCCCCAATAACCGGCCCTGGAATGGAGCGAAGGTGGGCCTGGGTCAGCCCCACTAGCTTCTGGCCTGTCCAACCCAGTGACCCCTCGCCCCCCCTGCAGTTCATCTCCGAGATCATCATCCAGGTCCTGCAGAGCAAGCACTCCGGGGACTTTGGCGCCGACGCCCAGGGAGCCATGAAGAAAGCCCTGGAGCTGTTCCGAAACGACATGGCCGCCAAGTACAAGGAGCTGGGGTTCCAGGGCTAAGCTCTGGCTGCCCCCACCCCCACCCCCACCCCCACCCGGCCCGGCCGGCGAGGGCGGGGACCGAATGTCCCGTAGCTGCGTAGCGTGTGCTTCTGAGTATTGGTTTGTTTGTGGGAGTGGGCAGGAGAGGCGAGGGCGTGAGGGGCGGGCGGGGGCTCCCGGGGACTCTTACCCGAGAGACCGGCCCCCGCCCCGGAGAGTCGTCTCCTGGGAACCGAGAGGCTGGCCCGAGGCTCACAGGCCTGCAGAGTCTGGGTCATACCTCATTAATTCTCTCACCGAAATCCCAACCCAGTTCCTCCCGACCTCTGACCTACACCTTCACCCTCACCTTTAACCCCAAATCCAAGCCTTAAACTAAGCCCCAGCCATCCGATCTGACCCAGCCTGGCCCCGTGAAGACGGCAGAATGCACCTTTGCTGCCGGAGGCGGGCGGGGCGGGACAGCCACACCTGTGCCTTCTCAGGTAACTGAGTGACTCACCTGGTTTTAATAAAAAACCCTGCAACATCTCAGTCTCTGCCTGGTGATTTTCGCCCCCCATGCAAGTATAGCCCCACCCCCCCAGGCCCCTCTGGGCAGGCGCTGGGACTGTGTGGGCAGAGAGCCTTGGGGAGAGGAGGGGCAGGAGGGGAGCAGGACAAGCCCCTTCCCCCTTAGGCTGCTGCTCAGTAGCAGGGACAGTGCCAGGCCCTGGGAGGAGGGGCAGTGGGCAGATCACAGGCCTTGGTGATATGGGGCTGTTGGCGCCAGGAACCTGGGGCTGAGGGCACAGATCCAGGGGAGAAGGTCATGGTGGTGACCATTTAAGTAACAAGCTCAGGGACACCTGCTAGTCGGTGGCAGGGCTGGGCAGTGACTCCAGCGGCGGGGACTGCGAGGCGGCCAGCCAGCGGCAACGCTGACCTTCCGGCCACAGATGAAGGACAGACTCGGGAATGACACACCCAGGCCAGGAGACACAAGTAAGTGTGCAAATGCCGAGTGCACTGGCAGAGTCAGTACAGCTGCGGGGACCAGCCAGGAGGGGCCGTGTGGAGTTGCTGGTGGCCTGGGTGTGTCTGGCCCCTCCCTCCCTGGCCTTGAATAACCCAGGACTCAGGGGCCGCTCCAAGTCTTTGGTCCCATAAATCTCCAGGGACTCCCAGCACCAGTGACCTAGTACCCCCTGCCTGAGTGTCTGGCCCACGGCCCGGGCCCAACCTCACCGCCCCAAAGTCCAGATCACACCACTGAAGCAGACACAGTGCGTGGCCTTCGAGGTGACACAGGTCCTAAGAGGCTCGGCCATCGGGCTGTGCTGCCGCAGGGGATGGGGACACGGCCCTTCTGCCCCCTTCCACTGCTCCAGGCTGTGCAAATTCTTATGCTCTGGGAAGGAAGAGGCGGGGAGGGTGAGGAGAAGACAGGGCAGCAGAGCCTGGAGAGAAACCCCAAGCATTTATAGAGCAAGTCCCGTCTGTGTCCAGGCCGGAGCCCTCTGCACGGGGGAGCAGGACTCGCTGCGTGAGCCGTCCCTGCCCCGCGTAGCTGACAACCTAGGCGGAGAGCAGGTGCTTTGACAACTGAGTCAGGGCCGAATAAAGTCAGGATTGAAGAAGTGCCAGGCATTTGTCATCCGTTCAGGGCTCATGCAACAAATAGGGATTGAGCACAGCCGCTCAGAACACAACAGAACCAAACCCTCATTTTATATTTTTCATGTGCACAATAGACAACTCCCCGCCCCCGCCCCCTGCAATGCAGCCACACACTTGGGCATCCTCTGTGTGGCTGAGACAATTCAGAAAATAATTTCTCAGCCTCAGGATTTTTGAATCTTTTGCCCTTCCTGTGAGTTCTGTCTGGTTCGCTCTGGTCCTAAGTTAGAATCAGCAAATCTGTGCAAGAGACGTGATTTTCTTGCTTTCTGCTGCCACCTCCTTTCCTCAGGCCACGCTGTCTGCGAGGGAGCAGGGAGGCAGAAAAGAAACCCCAAGGGAAATACAGGCCAGCACTTTTAAAAATGGGATCCTTCAGAACAAATGGCATTTATTCCGCATTGATCTAGCAAATATTTGTTGAGCAAATACTGCGTGCTAAGCCCCAGATTGGGCCTAGGCCCCATGCTGTGAAAGGCAGGCTTGGTCCCCCACTCACAAAGAGGGAGTGAGAAGAAAGCATCGGGGCTCTGCCGGAGGACAGGGGGGCTTTACTTTGGTAAGTAGAGAAAGGGGGAGCACTACCAGGAGAGGCCTCCAAATGAACTCCGTGGTATTGCACTGATGCCCTCCATGAACAAACATTTGCTGAGGCCTGTGGCTTGCCAGGTGCTGGGCTTGGCTCCGGGCTGGGCTCTGGACTGTCGGTGAGGCCGACTGGCTGGGTCAGTGCTCAGGGGCTTATGGGCTTGGGGTCCGGGCCTGTGTGGGCGGGTTAGGCCGCCTCCTGGGGTGCCTGGGTCAGGGCCCAGTCACAGTGGACATACGTCACGGTCAGGTGGTAAGTGCACTTGGGCAACAGAACCGAGGGAACTTATGCACAAACATACACACAGGCCCCTGGGGGACGTGGCAGGTTCAGTTCCAGGCCTCGGCAGTAAAGCGGATTTGGCTGATTCCGCGGGGCACGTGACAGTCATGTTTTCCCCAGACCACCACTGGCTAAGCGCGCGGTAGCATGAAGCCCGCAAGCCCAACATATGTGCCTTGCTGAGCGTGATGTGGGCTCGGGAAGCGGGCACAGGCTGCAGGCAAACGGTGCCCATGGCCTTGCTGGACGTGGACAGGCAGCTGCCAACCGTCCATTTGTGAAGGCCGCAGGGTCCGGAAAGCAGTGCAGCAGGTGTGCCCGGGACGTGCCCTCTGGGGCCTGCACCCACTGCATCTCCTCCTGCTGAGCTTCTGTGAGATGCCCTTGGACTGACTCTGATCCTTTGGGCCGTCCCCTCCTTGCTTACGTGGGCTAGTGAGTCCCTGAGCCCCCTGATGTTTCTCTCAGGGTGGAAAAGCACATTGCAAACTGTGGAGCATTTTAAACATGAAGTGACTCAGGAGGCACCGTGGATGGTGTCATGTTCACGGGTTCCTGAAGTTGAAGAGAGTGTGTGTGTGTTTTTGTGTGTTTGCATGCGTGTGTGAATGCGTGTGTGATACAGTGCCCACTCTCTCCCCAAGCCTGGGTCTACTCCAGACTTTGAGTCCCCTTTGCCTGTCACTCAGGGCCCCCAGAGCCATGCCCTCGGGATGGCCAGGCGACCCCTCGTAGGCCCCGAGTGCCAGCCCAGGGGACGCCCCAGACTGCAGAGGACGTGAAGGGAACCAGGACTTGGGCAATATCTGGAGAGCACAGCGATAAATTGTCAAGAGCTGTGTGCGTGATGGCTTCGTTTGACTTCTGACTTGGCAAGCCTTTAGGGAAGCAGGGCCAGGGTGTCAGGTGACAGCAGAAAGCGGGGACACAGGCCCCATGGAGTGTGCCGGGCGGCACGCACGTTCGCCATCTTATCCCTCCTGCAACCACGTCTCTTGATATTTCGTCATGAGTTCTCTCTGTGCCCATCTGTCTGTCTGTCTGCACCCCCCCAACACACACACACACACACACACACACACACACACACACACACAATTTTATGATCACAAACCAGTGAGAGTTGTCTCTTTAAAAAATACATATCTTTGGGCCTCCCTGGTGGTGCAGGCAGTTGAGCGCAGTGCTGTGAAACTGTCCGCAGCCTCTGCAGTGCCGATTCGATCCCCGCCAGCAGTGGAGATACCCACATGACATGGCAGACCTCTCCTGTCATGCCTGCTGCTCCTCTCAGCAGTGTATTTCATCAGTCTGCTTGTTCTGTTCTCCACTCTGTCTCTGGTGAATCCCCTCACCCTCCAGCATATCTGGCCTGTACCCCAGTTCTTGTATAAATAAATAAATCTTAAAATATACATATATTTTAAGATTTATTTGTTTGTTTGTTTGTTTGTTATTTATTTGAAACTCCCTGACACCAAGGCACATGAGCCCTAGGTGGGTGGCAGGGGCAGGTGGTGTGGATGCTGTTGGGACAGGGTTCTCTAAGCCCCTGCCTGTCCCGCAGATCTTAGACTTGCCAGTTCCCTATACTCGTGAGCCAATTGCTTAAAAGAACTCTCTTCTAGAAACATCCTAGACTCTGTTTCTCAGGAGGACCCTGACTCATGCAATTGTCACCCTGAGCTTACAGGTGAGAAGACTCAGAGTCTAGGAAATCACTCGAGATTGCCCAGCTGAGAAGCAACAGGGCTGGGATCTGCATCTGGGGTGCAGTGTCCATCTGGGGGGACCCACAGCTTGGCATACCCAGCATGGCCTGCCGCATCCACCTGGGACAGGTCTCCCGGCACCCTGGGGAGGGGGGTGACACCCTCACCCCACTACCCAGAGCTGATGACAGCGAGTGATAATTCTCCAGGCAGACTCACTAACCTGCCAGTTGAAGCCACGCGACCAAGGCCCCACCGGGTATTGCAGGCTGGGCTGGCGAGGATCCTGAGCCCGGGGTGATTTGCCAAAGGCTACTGAGTTGGCCAGGCTCAGGTCACTGATGGCTCACCTCTCACCATTCATGGGGTGTCAGAGAGGCCCCTGTGGAGCACAGGTGAGCCACTCCCAGGGACCTGCGGTCACTGCCACTTGATGCAAACTCTTGGTTCTTCTACAAGATAATTTCCCTTAAGAAGATAAAGAAAAAAAAAATCCACATAACCAGGTACCCATATTTCATCCACCAAATATTTAGGGAACATGTACTGTTCTGGTTTCTCTTGCTGCATAATACACCCCTCCAAGATAGACGGGCTTAAAACACGGCAGTTTAGTGTCTTGTTATTGCCTCTCCTGGCCCTCAGGGTTGAGGAGGTGCTGGCTCAGGGTCTCTCTCCCGCCTCTAGGTCTGCTGATCTGTGATTTATCATCTCCTCAGTGTCACAGAACGGCTGCCAAGCTGCAGGCATCACATTCTCATTCAATATCCAAAGGCAGGAAACGGCAAGTCTTTGCTCATGT